ATTCGATGGCAAGTCCGGCTCACCAACCCTTGGTCCCCGGTGTCCCGGAGACCGACATGAAGGAGGTCCTTTTATGCACTTCGACTTGAAAAGTGGTTTTCTTCTCCAAACTCTGCTATAGGTTGTATACATCCTCTTAGCGGGACTTTAGTCCAGGATACATTCGTGGCAGAATACTCCACCGACGTCGTAGAGCCGGAGGGTAGATAGGGAATTAAGAGACGCATGAACCTGCCCTGAATCCCAATAAGGGTGAAGATGAACCTCTGATCGATTCAGGCCGGATAGCTCGGCCAATTGATAGACTCGGAAACTAGAAATATTTGTGGTTTGGCAAGTGCGCATCAAACAACTCTTTTATCATCCTTAATTTGCCTACCAATGAGTAAGGCAGACTTGGCAGATGACGGTCTGAGAGTGGTCATTTGCCACCCGGTGATTTGCGCCGATTTGTTGCTTTGGCTGAGTGGGAAAACTGCAAAATATGCAGTTGCCAGGCCAAGGAGAGGCTAGATTTGTCATGCTTCTTTGAGTCAATCTGCAAGCCCGGTGTCTAAGAGCGGGCCCAGCTTGAGATGGAAAGGCCGCGATGATGATGATGACACTGATGGTGACAAGACCCTTAACTACATTAGGTAGCATAAAATGTTGTGGGAATGATAGCATAATTTCAAGACGGTCAAATGAGTAGAATGCTATGTACCAAAGGCGAAAATAATACGCTAAAGCCGATTGCGGATTGCGGCCTGGGCCCCATTTGAAGGCAAGTATTGCAATGCGATTCACCTCAAAAGGCCTCCATAAGCTAGTTTCCATCCGGACTGGACCGCGGTTTCAACTTTACGTACTCATTTTATAAGTCCCCCCTCTCCTCAACAGGATTCGAGCTTGGATCATGCTGGTCAAGAGGGGATCACATCGGATGGGATGAGATAAAGGAGTGATTTGCTCTAAAAGTTCAGCACGGCTAAGCTCATCTAATCGAGGATGTAACATCCACGATTCGAGTCACAATTAGGATTTCTATGTATGATGGGGCGGGACGGAGGATGCACTCCAATCTGGCGGAGAACAAACTTCTGGCATCCCTCGTGATTGCATTCGCATACTGGCAAAACTTGAATTATTGCTAATGGGTCTATCCTGCAGGCTAAAGAATAGATTCGACAGAATACACATCTTGAGCTCGATTTCAGGTGAAATTGGCGACTACACTCAAGTGTATGCTATAGACACTAGAACCCTTATTCAAGATTTTATGATGGTCTCGAAATCCTACTTAATCGAAATATAGGTAGTGTGACTGGATTAAAGGGAAAAATAAAAGTTTACGACGTTCTACGCTGTACAAGCAGGGTTCGAGTACTGCTGGGGGCCCTGAAGAGACCA